TTTTTATTAATATTGTTAATTTATTTGGTACCTACTATAATTACCACGATTATTACTCCGTTTTCATAAGGCCCACCTAATGACTACAACGATTAGGTAAATTACGATATTGCAAAGTTTTAATGAAATAAATAAAAAATGTGTATGAATATTTTAACTAATTGTACTAAGAATTTTTCTTTCATTCTTAACCCTCTCAAAAATTAATAAGCACGCCCCCGATTTGCTGTCAACTGGGCTTACTTCTACTCTCAATCATTATTGGTTTTAGTATAGTAATTGAACTTATTTCAGGCGGTTTCGTTAGCATGCGACGATATTTTAGCAAAGATGAAGCCTATTAAAGACAAAATGAAGAAGCCAACGTGGGCGGAAGTCGCCAACCAGTGTTTCGCAGAAAATGTTTATCTTACCTCTACTGGATTGTGAGTATATCCATTTTCATAATTTCAATGTTGACTGATTTTTGAAATCCTACAATTTTTTCGAAATAATTTCGTTTGAAGGTGAATTACAATATTTCCCTTTGCCAATATCAAAATTCTAGAATTATTTACCGTAAAATGGGGTTATTGTGATCAATTTTTATTTTAAGAACTCAGTAGGTATCTTTTGTATAAATTGGCCGAAAAATATGATAGAAAAACCATAATGTCGGTTTTTTGTCTTCTACCCGATAATTAACTTAAAAAACATCTTAACTTATTTAATCTTTGAAAAAAAAAATAAACCACATGATCAAATTTATACATCGATCGGGGTTACTTTGATCACCGTGCTTATTTTTATGCCATTTGAAAGTGACTCCNAAAGTTCAAAGGACGCAGTTCATTACGACAATATATGCTAATGAAACCTGTGAAGCGCGGGTATGAAGTTTGGATCAGAGCCGACGAAAGTGGTTATGTATGCCAATTCCAAATTTACACCGGGAAGGTTTCGGATATAACAGAAAAAAGCTTGGGTGCCAGAGTGGTCCACGATTTGACGAGAGATCTAGTTGGGAAGGGCCACCATGTATATTTTGATAATTTTTTCAATTTTGTCGATATACAAAAAAAGTTACAAGATTATTTGATTTATGCATGTGGTACGGCAAAAAAAGGACGAAAACAAACACCTCTGGATATCAAAGAAGACAAAGCTATGGAAAGAGGACAATCTGATTGGAGAATTAGTAAGGATGGAATTGTCTACCTCAAATGGAAAGACAGAAAAGGAGTATTGTTTATTAGCAATTATCATAATCCGACGAGCGTTGAAACTACATCTAGAAAAAACAAAGACGGATCCTCCGAAGAAATCTCATGCCCAACTCTAGTAAAAGATTGTAATGCTAATATGGGTTACGTTGACAAAATGGATATGCTAAAATCCATTTACGAAATTGACCGTAAAAGCAAAAGGTGGTGGCAACGCATATTTTAGTATTTTGTTGACTTATCTTTAGTGAATTCCTATATTATATTATTCAAGAATAGATCAGCGGAAAAAACACTCACATTGAAAATGTTTCGACTGTCGGTAGTACTAGGTCTGATAGGAGCAAAATCTGAAATTTTACCAAGGGATCGTCAGAAACACAACAATGAGCAATTTGTTAGCAACTATAAGCCTGCGGTGCCCCTAGAAATTAGGTTTGACAAATGTTTATATATGCCAACACATCAAAAACCTAGAAGATGTGCTCAATGCAGTAACCGAAACGAACCACATAAGTCATCATGGAGTTGTTCCACATGCAATGATGGACTTTGTCTGAAAAAAAACTGTTTTGTACTTTTTCATGAAAAATGAAAAATGAAAAATTCATGTACAAATGTACATGAATTTTAATTGAAAAAAAAATAAATATTCTGTATGTATTTTTTCCTGTATGCCTTTGTGCCTGGTGTCCCAAAACCTAAGACACGTCGTGAAGCCTAAAAGAATAAGCTGAAAAATAAATTTTGTTGTTCAGCTCTCTTAACTTAACCCTCACAAATACGTTTTGGCCTTTGAAATATCTTGAAATTCAAACGAATATATTCCGGCGTTGAAGGGTTAATAAAGCTGTTTAAAACATTTGGGGTGACTTTAATATAGACAAAAATGATGTTTCAGTTATAATTTTATTCAAAATTAACATTTTAAAACAAAAATTACTCAAACTCTTAAGCTTTAACCCTCATTCACATTGACTCCATAAGGAAACACGACCAATTCAGTCCCTTCTTATAAGGTATGCATAGGCAGGTATGCAACAATAGCAGAGTGTTCAATTTCAGAAATGTAATCTTTAAATAATCTGAAAGTTTTTTTTTATTTTGGTACGATTTTGAGCCGGTAACTACTAGCGGAGTTGTTTCGTTAATGTAACATACGTAACGATATGTTTTTTTTCGCATGTACACTTGATCAGGGTTGAACGGCAATATTCCTGTTGCATTAAATGCGCTTATAAGATTTCGTTTGATGGCACCGTTTTTATTATTCAACGGGGGTACCACATCAGTGTTTTCAATTTTTTTTGTTTCATTTTGTCCATTCTTATTAGTGTCTTGTTGAGTAGATTCGAAAATTCATCTTTTGAAACCGTGGTCAGCTTAAGTTTTTAACTTTCCATTTCGATAATGTATTTCGCCATGCCTCTTTCATTGGACGAAAAAATGCTATGTCAACAAGTCAGCCAAGTAAACAAAGTTGATATCGTTTACTTCACATAGTCGTAAAACATCTTCATCGATATGAGAGAACAAATTGTCCCCAATTAACACTTTACGCCCGTTTAGTCTATTCGCGTGTGGCAAAAAACATGTCATTAACCAATTTCGGAAGGTTGAGCTGTCAATCCAGCCACTTGCTCTTCGGTTGTATCTAGTTTCTCTTGAGCAACAAGGCTCATCGCAACAGGGTGAGCCACACGGCCCTCTATCTTTCCAAGTGTAATATAGATGTGTGCTCTTGCCCGGGTCGTCGCTTAAATTTGACTCATCATAGTTGAAAATATAACTACTCGGCACATTTTTAACATCACTTTCCAAATGTTTAAAATATTGTTCTATATTTTGTTTGGAAACTCTGGCTAGAACCCTTTTTTTATTAGCTGCAACACGCTGACTGTAAGAATCCTGATGACGTCATTAAACCGAGTAGTCCCAGTCAATACCCGGCACATTTTTGGAAAATTTTGCAACTATTCGTTGCTTTCGGTCTAAACAAGCCTTAACGAACATACGCAAATCAATCAAACAGACCTAGAGGAAACCCCCATTCAGCACACTTTGCTGATGATTTAAGAATAGCCTTTTCTTGAGTTCCAGGTCTATTTATGTGTTGTCCATTATACCTTTTGGTAAATTTTCGTTATGTGGACACCCGGCGATTTTGAAAAAAATTTTGACTGTACTTACGTATTTTGATGCGTAGATTATGAATCCGAAAGAAAAAAGCGGCGCTCTCCCTTATTTAAAAAGTTACGGCCCTTCAAAGTTCAGAAAAGAAAAGGGCAACTTTTCAGCCTTCTTTTTCACTAAATAAACTATTTAAAAACACAAGCATCTATTCACTAGGTCACCTTTACACGTTATTCTTCCTTATTTAACACTTTTCACTTCAATAATCAACATTTTTCTTATAAAAAACTTAATTTAAAAACGAATGCTTCTCCTGGTGACATTATTCTATTTTTAGGTTAGTTACTAGTGACATTTCAGAAAAAAGCGGTTGGTATTTGCCGTCGCCTACTATTTCAAATTCGTAATACACCACCAAAAACCAATTTACGATCTAAAGAATGAAGGTGAAAAACATTTGAATTACTTCAAGAATATGGACTGCATCAGTCGTACCAACCATATCATTAACCTTAAAAACGTAAAATACATTGATTTGTAACCAAAAAGCAGCTCCGTACATTTTTTAACATTTTTATAAGAAAAATTTTGATTATTGAAGTGAAAAGTGTTAAAGAAAGAAGAATAAGGTGTAAAGGTGACCTAGTGAATAGATGCTTGTGTTTTTAAATAGTTTATTCAGTGAAAAAGAAGGCTGAAAAATTGCCCTTTTCTGAACTTTGAAGGGCCGTAACTTTTTAAATAAGGGAGAGCGCCGCTTTTTTCTTTCGGATTCGTAATCTACGCATCAAAATACGTAAGTACAGTCAAAAATTTTTTCAAAATCGCCGGGTGTCTACATAACGAAAATTTACCCACTACCTAACTATTTTACGAAATGCTTACTTTGATCATTTGATTAAAGTAACCCCGAACACCTGATTACCAATAACCAAAACGGTAAAATTAAAATTCTAGTAATTTTGAAACTACATGAAGAGTTCTATATACCTAAAATTCCAATATTTTTTCACAAAATCACAAAGTTTTATGACAAAGCGTGGGCCGTTGTTAAACAAAATCCGACATATTGTAAAATCGATATCAGTGTTGCCAATACTGAAAAATAAAACATTCGGCTGCGTTCAGTAATCTCGTTATTGGCGCTTTTCAAAACTAAGTAAGCTGTTATCAAAGTAACCCCGTAATATCAAAGTAACCCCATTTTACGGTACTAGTGTTTCAATGTATTAGTTAGTATTGCCAATTTTCTCGTTATCTTTTAGTATCGCTGACAATTCTCCGGGAGTAAAATCGTATGAAATTTTTGGACTATGCGCTACTGAAGTAGAAGTAGATATTTTAACAGGACAAAACCAAATACTACAAGTTGACATCATTGAAGATCTAGGTGAAGCCGACAGTCCTCTTATCGACATGGGTCAAGTAGAGGGCGCCTTCGTTATGGGTAAGTTTCATAACAATGTACTGAAAAATTATTTCGATTTTACACATTCATATTGAATATTCTCATTGGAAATTTTTTCACTAAATGAATAAACGTGGTGTCAATTTGAAAACTTCCCACCCTCAATATCTCCCTTCCAGTACATAATATGGAAATTCGAACAGACAGGTCAATTTTATTTTCAAGGCGTATACTTTAAATTACTATTTTTAACCTTCATGGTTCAACCCCCTAGGAGGGGTAGATGTTACCCTTAGAATATCAAATGGGAAGCTGAGTCAAGTGTCACCTCATTTTAAACGGCATTCAGTCCTCTTTCCAAATCGTTAAAAATTGCTGAACAATGTTTTGCTCAGAAAACGGAACTTCTGTTCATTTCTATTTGAGTGAATAATATTTGAATACTAACCTGAAAACCATTCATCTCAGTGCAGGCAAATTCTCTAAGTTTAGAACAGTATTTTTTGGAAACTGCTCATCAAAAAATAATATTCCAAGTTATCGTTAAAAGAAGAACTGAAGACCATTCAAAATGATTCGTCACTTGACCCTCCTTTCCATTTAATGTTCTAACGGTAACATCTACCCCTCCTAGGGGGTTGAACCATACACCATGTAACTGGGTAGTTTATTATAAAAGTGTATACAATTGACCACAAAAGAAAATGCATATGATTTGGAATATCCTATTCCAATAATTGCCTATAATATCCTATGCAACAACTGCCTATTTTGAGCAAGCAAAATCCATATATTTTGACAAGCCTCGTATACGACTGAAATAATGTATTAACCGATGATTGTATGATTTTAAATCTTACAGAACATTTTATAAGAAATATTGTGTAAAACCCGTTAAGATCCGGGTTGGTAGGCCGGTGTTTGATCTTATAGCATCGTACGTTTCGTATTGTCGTTCCTCCAGACATCTTCAGTGATGAATGCGTTGCCTTCGAGGACAAAGGCAGTATTTCAAAGTCTCAGCAACGACTGACTAGAGACCTTATAGCATTTTATTTTCTTGCGTGACCATGGTTTAGGAAAATTTTGACGGCAATATAGATTTACACTGTATATCTGATATGATCAAAAAACAAAGTAGATCTCCTTCAATCTATTCGCTCAATCTAGTAAAGGTGGTTGCACTATTAATATTTAACTTTCCATCGGTCCATAACACTTCAGTTATTTCAATTTAGAAAATTAATACAATTATCCTATCACTTGAAATTAATTCTCTATCATAGCACAGTTACCAAAGTAATGTGATATCCGGTCGAAGGCTCTTGCCGATCTACCTAAGCACATTGCTTTTTATGCAAATTTTCCTGATTCGATTTGAATTGCTGCATGGTTTTCGCACCTATATCATTTTGTAGTACCATTCTTGTAACCATTTTTGAAAAGAAGTACATTTCACTTTGAAAGAAATAAGGTCCATCTTCTAACTATGTGAATATGTAATATTTTGGGAAAGTACCGGTCCCAGATTCCACTGGAGAAACTCGTATTATTTTCATAAGATATACCTAAGTGTGGTTTGGTCTCTGCAGAACAACTTTTCCAGAAATATATCTGGAGAATATATTCTGAAAGGGAGAGTTTTTCGAGTGATAGTAACACGTTTCTTTTTTATTTATTATGAAAATTTCTCAACAACTATTGTTAGTAAATATTTTGAGATATGATACAATTTTACAAAAGTTATCTATGTTTTTCATCTTAAGGTAATTTTCATTTCGAAATACCATAATAACAAAACCCGATGGCGGCCCATTTCACTAACAATAATTGAAAGTTCCCTCTTAATTTACGACCCATAAGCTCCCAGACAAAGAGCACCGTGCAAGCGAACCCAACAAAAGGGGTTACAACCTTCATCACCATTACTTCCACCACCCCATAAAATTATGAATACGAGTGTCCGTGGAGCTCCCCAGTCAGTCCTTGCTATGATTTCGAAATACTATAAATTCGTCCTTGAAACCAATCATTCGACTACGACCCACCAGCGAAGATCTCTCTAATCATGGCTCCGGCGTGAAATTCTATATTTTCATTATGAAAACCAAATGTTCCTTCCACTTACTTTTGACCAACTCTGTTAAATTTAATATTCCAGGAATTGGGTACTATACAACGGAACACCTTATTCACAATTCAGATGGAAAACTCATAACCGACCGTACTTGGAATTACAAACCACCTGGAGCTAAGGATATCCCAATAAATTTCAGAATCAAATTTCCAGAACATGATCCCAATAAAGTGGGCCTCCTCAAGTCCAAAGGTGTATATAAATAGTAATAATGAAATTATTATTAAACTGCAGAAATTTTCAGCTGTTGCCGAGCCCCCCATGTGCCTTTCTGTGGCTGTTCCTCTAGCTATTAGGGATGCTTTGGTTTCTGCCAGGAAAGATTCTGATAAAAGCCAGCCAGCTTGGATTCCGTTTGGTATGTATTCGAAGCAGATAAATTTTATTTTGAAGTGTTCCTTAGTATCAAGGTGTTATGTTGGGAAGAGTTTAACATAACACCTATATCTGCGAGGAAAATCACAAAAGAATGATAAAGAATCTTCGCTGCATTGAAAAAAAAAACGTGTGAGCTCCATAATCTGCAAAGGGGTCGTAAAAGTAATGATAAAACGCAATTTAAAACAAGTATCTAGTGACTACGTGAATAAAATTTGACAGACCACAATATTGGAATTGTGGATCATAAGATGAAGGTGAGGTGGGTGTCCTATTATATTGCCTTCTGCCGGGTTTACATTATTATGTTGTGGTGTGTTGTGATGCTCTCTGACGTGACGGCGTGTAGACTATTCTGTCGTGTCGGGGCGCGCTCTGACGTTATTTCAAGTCAATACAGTTGTGGCCTTTGGAATAAACGCATGCGAGCATCTGCAATGTTTTCTTCCATTTCGGATAGTGATATTAAAGAAAACCTCACGTGTCTGCTGAAGTTTACTTAAAAAGAAAAAAAAGAGAAAATATTGTTTTCATCCAGCAAATGATTTGAGAGGTAGTCGAAGCGAATATCATTTACTAGTAATGAAGAAAGATTTCATCAATATTTCAGGATGTCAAAAAATCAATTTGAGATATTAGGTACATTCTATGGTAGAAAATGATATTAAAAAATGTAAACCCGTATTTTCTAAGAAGTTTAATAAGTTCGTCCGTTCAATAAGTCGTGCACCAATAAATGCAAACGACTATTCTCTAGCTAGATTAGATTAGTCAGATTAGAAACATACTAGTGTGGAGTGTTCTGACGCGTCATAACCCCACCATCGTTCTGCAAATTCAAGTTTAAACAAATTAAAGTTGAGTTTAATTCATGAATTTTACAAATTCACTTCGAAAAGTATTCAAATTGTTGTTTCAAATGTTGGGTTTAAGCGCCTATATCAAGTTGAAATAATTTATAGATACCTAAATATTCTACTTCAAAAAAGGAAAATTATTGTCATAAATGAACAATTAAGGCAAAATATAAATTATAGTTTAATACCACCTCCACAAGCCACATAAACAACAGTTGTTTTGTTATTTATTTATATAGATATGTCACAGAATGTCTCGGAACTCGGAACATAAGTAAACAGAACAGCACGCCTCTGAAATATGTCATCTTTGTTTGTCTCATACAGGTAACATATTCATTGTCTTTTATTAGCTATAACCGATATTGCCAAATGGTGAAATAGAAACGAATCCCTTTAAATGTTAAATGCATTATTTCATTCCTCTTTTTTTAAGTATTTAAATAATTTTTTAAAGAAATAGGTTGAAATAATGAGTTTAAAATGCGTTGTTTTAGAGCTCTTTCATGAAAACTACTTGATTTTCGTCAGGAGGAACATTCCCCATTCTAAACATACTAAATTTATGGATACGATATACTTGTGGCGCGTCACGACACAATAATATAATTCCGGCTTTACGGTTTCATCTAGAATGCATTTTGTGTTTTCGATCATTAAAAAAAAACAAATATCAGTAAGAATTCTTCAAAAAGACTTTTCATCTTTATACACATGGAAAAATATTCTCTGGCGATATTGTATTTATGGAAATCATTTTCCCCATTTACATTGAAAATGGAAACCGTAACGAATTTCAATGAAAAACTTCACTGAGAAGAATCACTTTCACTCTCGAACTATGCTTTGGTTGTATACTTTAATTTCCAGTTCTATTCACAGATGTTTATGAGGGATATTCCAACAGGGACGTCCGAACCTTGATAATTGATAACGGCCATCATATTTAAGCTACATCTGTTTTAAAAAAACTGTTTTTCCGGTAACCAGCTGTCGCACCCCTACGAACGACAACTCTCAGAAGACGAAACTTGTGCGAGCTAAGGACTAACGAGGTCTTACCTTTTAACGTGTGATTCTTAACACGGGTTGGACGATAGCAAGTGAAAATCGATCGTTCAGCCTAAGGCTTGAACCAGCGACCAACACGGCGGTCGATTTGAGTGAGTGAACAAAGCACCCACGTCGAACTGACCGACTACCGACCGGCTATCTGTCAAATTATTTGTTGTTTATTCAGTCTGTTTTGCCAAATCACCATGAACATAGCAGTCAACAACACCTGCAAATAATAAAATTGTTTTATCAAAATGGGTGTTCGTGCAAAGTACCACGGGCTTCGACCATTTTACGGTCGCCATAGTCGTCCAACCAAGAAGACTAGTTGCAATGTGGTGGATAAATTTGAGTCCACTGGTTCAGTAAAAAGGTAAAGTCTCTGCCTGGTGTAGATTTTGAGCAAGCGAGTCATCGGTCCATATTTCTTTCAGAAATATTTTGACTAGGCCATCACTGTCAACGACGAGCACTATAGACCGATGATCACCAACTTTATTGGCATGATTCAGATGATCTAAACACCAACGACATGTAGTTTCATATGAAACGCCGTTTCACTTTTTATTGTCATAAATATTCATTCCTCAATTTATTCAACCAAGATAATTTTTATTCTGAGCTAGCGTCGAGCTGATTCTTGCAGATGCTGAATTTGTAAAAATTCAGTTTCTGCAATATTATTAAAAAGTAAAACGGCATGCCACGCCATTGCAAACTTTTAAAATCATCAAAAAATTTAATTCTTTGTCAGGAATTAGCTTTTTAAAAAGATTGATGAAATAAAATGATACTTGCTTGAGAATGTTTTGCACAAAAGTTGTAACCAAACTTTAAATTGAATGCATTAAAGTGAATCATTACTACACCAAAGGTTCCAAACAGTGCATCATAATTACCAACAATGTTTCATGGGAAAACTTTGACAGTCATTCAAATATATTCATTGAAATATTATTCCCAAACTTACTTTTAGAAAGTGAGTTTGAAGTTTCATAATAATTCAACAGTCATATAAATAACTAACATTTTATTCAAAGGTCAAAATTATATGCGGAATTGAAACGTTTGTTGAATTTACTCGAATAATACATAAATAAAAATGTTTGTTCATTGCTGAAACTCAATATGTATATAGATTATTTTTCAGCATAATATATAGTAAATTGGCGTTCCATTTTCCAATACGCTGAAACAATATTTTTCTTCGGAATCAATAAAAGCTTCAAGTTATTTCATTAATCTTTTTTATTCAAATAACAATTTCATTCATGTAACATTTTAAATCAAGTGTCATTTAAAATATAACAATTTTGTAAACAATCGTTTTTAATGTGTCCAACAAATGCATTAATCAATTAAATTCAAATTCAAATAAATTTTTTAGGTGAATAAATTGAGGAATGAATATTTGTGACAATAAAAAGTAAAACGGCGTGCCACAGAGCTCATGCCATATTGAATATTCTGCACGAGCGATTTGACGGCATGGTCATCTCACATGGAGGTGATATGAACTGGCCACCATGATCGTGCGATTTGACACCGTTAGAGCGCCCGTACACGAGCCACATTTTGCGGTCGGATCGACCACACAATTGCAATCACGTTCCAGCGTACTCAAGCCGCCCATAAAAAATACTGTACTACACGTTCACAGTCGTTCACAAAAGTCAAAACGGGCTTCTGCAGTCAACTTGCTGCTGATCTCCGCCAAGATGGCATCGCGGCATCCGCCGTACACTAACCATAAACTTGCAGTCGTACCCAACAGCGTACATATTGGTCTCACAACATTCAATTTTTGATGTCAGTTGCCTCAACTGCAGGTGCGGTTTATATGACCGCAAGTCGACCACAAAAATGTGGTTGAGTCAACCGCGAAGTACAGTCACCGTGGCCATAATAATGTGGTTGCCTCAACTGCAAATATGTGGTCCGTGTGGATCTGGACATTTGGACATCTGGACGCTATATACATTCCACACATAATGGCATCAATATTTTCAAGCGAATAAAAAATTTTGATGATATCTCACACACACTTTGTTTTATTCAAATTTAAAGATAGGAAACGCCTGATAAAAGACCCTACAGTTTGAACGACAGTTCAACAGTGTTTTTCAGGAGGAACATTCCCCACACACCACGACACAATAATATAGTTCCGGCGACAGTTCAACAGTGTTTTTCCATACTTTTCAAGTATTGCATACCATCAAAAATATATTGTGTCAATTTTAAAAAATTACAATGGGCTATATCTCACGAACGAAAACTGATATCGAAAAATNCTAAAGTGACATGAAAGAGAACTCACCCCCATCAACCCTCTAGGCCCCACCCACCAAAACTCAAAAAGTTCAAATTGCAAACCCCTACTTGTGATACATCATTGAAAAGACCATAAAAAATGCTATCCAATGGTATAAATGATAATTGTACAGGGTGAAGCAATAATTGTGAAGCTTTGGTTTGAATGGAATATTTGATGAGTTTTCTGTTGAACTACAAACTTATAAAAATGTCAAGTAAATACCCAAAGTGGGTTCCGTTGTTTTGTAAACAATAATACAGCCTATTGTCAAAGTCTGCACGAACTTTTAATATCAGCCGGCTTACTATGACTTTTTTATTTGTAATGCTACCTCCCGGACTATTATTTTAAATGATAAGTGTCCGCCGATACTTTTTTGTTAAATAAAAACTTAATTTGCCGTTTTTGCAAAAGAAGTAGGGAAGATCTGTTATTTGGGTTCCTTCAAAGTCAATAATTTTTGGTCTGTTTGAGACTTTTAAATGTCATTAGTTTTAATCATTTGTACGATATGTACTGTCATCCAGCTGTAATTGTCACGATGGTTTATAGTATACCTGAGCGCGGGGAGATAATTTTCATATTTGCCTCCCAGAACCAGTGTTATTTAAAAACAGCTCAAATATTTCATGAAAGGCATCCGGACAGAAATGTAAGCCACGTGTACGTCCGCGATTTAGTTGAAAAGTTTAGAGAAACGGGATCAGTGCAAAATAAAAAAAGAAATGCCCCAAGATTACTGATTGAAGCAACCCAAATTGAGTTCCTTGGAAATTTCGCAATGGAGCCTACTACATCAACACGTCAAGTATCTGCAGTGACAGGACTTTCACATGAGTCGGCTAGAAAGGTGTTAAAATCACATAAGTTTCGCCCGTACAAAACACAAATTCTTCAAGAACTAGGCGATGATGATCCAGACCGACGAATTGAGTTCTGTGAACTCATGACTGAAAGAATTCGCGTTGAAACGAGAATGTTAAAAAGTATTTGTTACAGTGATGAATGTACTTTTATTCTGAATGGTAATGTAATCTCTTCTCTGAATCGATGCGGGTTCGTATCGATTCAGAGAAGGTCACACTCAATATCATGAAAAACTGAATGTTTGGACAGGAATATTAGACGATGCTATAATTGGTCCCTTGTTCATACCAAGCAATTTAACTGGCGACATTCATCTCGATATGCTGGAAAACACCATCGAACCTTTAATTGTGCATACATTAAAGAACCAAAGGGACGACCAAGGTAACCTAGCTGTAGCACCTCCTCACTATGCAGCTTCAGTTAGGCACAAATGGATCGGAAGGAGAGGTCCCATTGAGTAGCCATCGAGGTCACCAGACTTGGCGCCACCTGAATTTTTTCTGTGGAGTCATCTCAAGTCAGTTGTTTATGAAACTCAACCTGCGTTACTTGGGGAATTGCGAGAAAGAATTACGCAAGCATATCGTGCCATTACTAGAACAACATTTGCCGAAGTTCGTGCAGAATTTGAAAATATGCTGTATTATTGTTTACAAAATAACGGAACCCACTTTCAGCATTTACCTAATTGACATTTTTAATAAATTTGCAGTTCAACAAAAACCTCATTAAATATTCCATTTGGGCCAAAGTTTCACAATTATTGCTTCACTCTGTACAATTATTATTTGTACCATTGGATAACATTTTTTATATTCTTTTCAATGATATATCACAAGTAGGGATTTTTCTGTTTTCTTTCCTCATACGAGGAATTGAGCAAATTTTGGATATGCGGTTGGTTACCTCGTTCACAGGCAGATGGGGCGATGACGAACCTGTTGTTTCTTTTCTGCTTCAGCGTAGTTCGAGAAATGATACTCTGAAGGAATTCGATTTTCAATTATCGGAAATCATCGACTTTATGTTGATAGACACACTACCTTGCGCTGACGAGTGGCCAAACAGCTCGAAACCGGTCTGCCAGTGTGTTCCAATAATTGCGGCAGTTGTACCGCCAACAGCATATGCAAGAATAACTTCAGTGAAGAATCCTGCACTGATCCCTGTCAGATATAATCCAATGCCCTTCGTGGTATTAGCCAGGGGAGTAGTTGTTTTCTGATAGGTGCAGTCCATTAACCTACAGTGTAGGGAGTTAAGACTGGCCTGAACGAATTGTTCTTTTAGATGATTTGAAACGGCAACGGAAATTGTTCAGAATTGTGGACATTTGAACAGTTATCAAATTGATTTTTGTTTATTCGCAAAAAACAATCAAATTTATTTCTAAGATCAATAATATGTTCTTCAATGTTAACTAGGCGCATCTTTCACTTGAATGGATTGACGGTTTTTGAACAGACTTGACATGCATTCTCCTGGGACATTCTAGGGATCATACGTTGAAATGAAAGACCTCATTCGTTTCATTACCTCAAATTCGAGTGTTACCGTTCATAGGTGAACAGAAAATCCTATCAATAACTCTTTTTGTATTATTACTGTCTTTCTGTTAATAGTTATCATGTTCTTTGCATAGTTTATTCTGTACTTTCAATTCAATTGATGAATTCAAAAGAAAAGATTAATAATCGAAATTTAGTGAAAATCGAACAAAAAAATATTGCAAGAAACATCGTACGATGATATAGTGTAAAGTGTCACGAGCTATTCACTTCTATAATGAAAAGTAATACTGTTGTCAGAACCCCACACGTATAAAACATTGGATTTGTTAGTATCGATCTACATTGACAGAGCTGAAAAAAGAATATTGTTTTTTCATTAGAAGATAATAAAACTAATGGAACTAACATGTAGTCCTAATTCTTCATCACTTCTTGAGTTTTTGGCTGTTAGAATCTACATAATTTAGGAGCCCTTCAGTCCTCGCCTCGTTTCGAGTTCAGAGTGATTATTTTGTTCAATCGATAAAATGAAGAAGCAACTGAAAAGAATATATAAATCAAATTAAACTCACCAATGCCATGAACACAGACAAGATACCAAAATGTGTCACATTTCACTGATTCACATAACCTCAAAAGAAACAAACAATAATCCTTGAATTCAAACTTCACTTCGAATACCAACAATTTATATATGATATTCAGAAATCCCAAAATCATAATGGAAACTTATTCATATAATGAGAAATTATCAAGTCGAGTGGAAACGTTATTCCGGATTTCAATGAAATCGAAAAGAATACGCAACGTACCTACTGGTAATGCATCAAGCCACGTCAAGCAGGTCGGGTGCCGGATCTGCGGTCTCATTTTAACGCACGATATATTTCAACAATGAAGTCGTATTGTGATACCAAACTATATTGTTCTATGGAACTATGAATTCGTGGTTTTATCACGCTGTTTGCTTCCATGTTTCCTGTTTCTGATTGGAAGCAAGGCAGATATAGTGAGGAGTTACTATCTTAGAAAATATAAAGTAACTCATCTGAAATATCTGAAAACTGGTTTTTGTTTCACTTCCTGTTTGTTTACAGGAAAATTTCAGTTGATTATTTGCCTCTCTCCGCATTTGAGCAAACCATTCTAAGGTTCTTTGATCTACGAATCTAATGAATCCTGTTTCTTGAGTTCCCTTGATTGCACATTTTTTTGTTTGGTAATCCTTCTTGCTGCACATCTATTCGCAGTCCCGTCAGACATGCAGTTGAATAAATTCTCCGAAGCACAATATATGATCGAATGCGGATTCAAACTTGTGACCTTTCAGTCGGACACACTACTACTAGACCAAATTAACTTTTTATACTTGGGATAATAATTATTCATGATTACAAATAATTGGTTTCTGTTACAGATGGTCCTACAACGGTGGAAGCAACTTTTCTTCAGTCTTTGAACGATTTCCAACAATACACTTTATAATAGTATGACTAAATGTTTTATGTGAACTTTGAAATACATATGAACATTTCTAGTATAAGTTAGGCATGAAACGGCTCAGAGGACTAAAGCAAATATTTTCTTAAGTGACTTATATTCCATAATTCATTGAGATGAAGTGATGTAAGTGAATAAATAAACAAATATAATGAAATATTCAACTATCTTTTTTTATTCATCATTATTGTGATAGGTTAGGTCATGTTAGGTCAAAAAAGAATGAATCTATTCGACCCTCCACCGCAACCCGCAAGTATTTATTGTGGCCCACACCTATTCAAACTCGATCAAATAAACCCAGCTTCATGACGAAGCCGATTAATTTATATGGTGAGTAATCTTTCAGGTCAGATGATAGGAATCTGATTCTACCAAACTCTGAAAACCTGATTCAATCCGCAGCAGAGCAGGCACAAAGTATATGCTTTGCTGTTTCATCATTTTCCAAACAGAGGCGACACATACCGATATTCTTCCGATAGTCCGAGTCTCTGCATATGATGATTCAAGTAACAGTGACCTGTAAGAAAGCCTTTTAGGCATCGTAGTTCATTTCTTCTGTAGTCCAACAACTGTTGGGTTTCAAGCTTCGCAGGGTGAATGATCACCTTAGAGTAAGCCAATCCTGGAAGATTTTGCCAGAAGTCTTTGAATCTTCTTGCCATCCAAGTGTTCAAAGTTTGTTTGGAAAAACTTAAAGCAATCCCAGTGACAGATTCTGGTCGGATGAAGCTACTTGCAGCACCCTCCTTTGCGAAGGAGTCAACAACCTCATTGTCTTCCAGGCCAGTGTGTGCAGAAATCCAAACCAGAGACAAGTTGTTAAGTCTTCCTATCGAACAGAGTCGTTTTAGGCAATTTGCTACCAATTTAGAAGCAAAAACAAAAGCAAAAATACTTTTTCACCAAAATAAAATATTTACATGCCTACATTTCATGAATACCTCTACCTTAAGGGTAGAGTAGCAAAGTGACTCCAGAACAGTCGCGCCGATGCGCCCCCGCCGAGCGGAGGCGGTAGGGAACGCCCCCCGCGATGTTAGCGGGTTGATGCTCACCCAGAAACATAGACTTTATTAAAACCTACCAGGTAATGTGCCTTCTGCCGCCAAGGCTTGTGCACACCATCACATGATTTTGATATTCATGTCATTCAAATGAAAACATAGCTGTCGATGTTCCACAAAGAGTTGTCCTGAACGTTAAGTCTCTCCAGTTTCTCCCTCCACTGAGCATTGGTGAACTCATTTATTCGTTGATTGATCCTCTTCGCAAGTCTGAACATGAGCTCTTTGCACCGAGGGTCTCTAGTATTTTACCATATTTTTCTGGCGCGGTGTTTCTCGCGAATAAGTTCCATAATGTCCTGTGAAAGAAGCTCCCTGTTACTTTTAACCACCATCAATCGTGTGGAGTCATCTCTCGCAATCTGAATGTTTTTAATAAACGTTTCAGTTATCTCGTTCAGATTTTCGATGGTAATTTGACTCTGAAGTGTGGTGAGCTTGTTGAACTCGGACTTGAACTTATTCCAGTCCGTGGTCTTGTAGTCATATTTTCTTTTCACAAACTTAGGTTGTTCTCTGTTAAGACTAAAGATCACCAGACAGTGGTCCGAGGACAACTCATCCACCACCGTCAGGTCTTACGTTTTTGTTTATCCTAAGATCGATTGTGGTTGGTGACGTAAGGGTAATAAGTTGCCTCATCAGAGTGCTCGATAACAATATTGTTATTGAGTAAATACTCCCATAGGGTCTTCCCGTTAGCGTTTGGATGATTGAAACAGTTCCACTTGCGTCTCCTGGCGTTCGGGTCACCCACAAGGAGGACCTTATTGCCTACATCAAGTAGACTGTCTAAATCGCGCGAAGTATACCCATTCGATGGTGGATTGTAAACAGCATGCATGCAGGTACCATCAGCGAGCCTTATGCCATCATGTTCAATGCTGCTAGGTCGCTGTGGTATCGGCGTGTATGCTATGCTTCTCCTTATCAGGATAGCAACTCCTCCGCTTCTCACTGCATTAGGGCGGTCTTCCCTAATCGTGACAAAACCCTTAAGTTTCAGTCGATGTTCCTGTCGGAGTTTGGTTTCGGACAGAAACATTATATCCACTTTGTGGGAATGTACGAAGTTAATTATCCTGGGGAGTTTATTATTAACACCGTTAGAATTCAGCATATATGCCTTTATGGGCATTTACAGATTATAGCGATCAAACTTCTGCAACAACTGCATATAATTAAGCCATTTGGTCCTCGGATCTGTGGCCTTGGACAACACAGCTATCAAATCACTTAACGACCTGAGCATCTCTTCCATGTTGATAAGTGTGCTTACCTTGTCAAAGGCAAGCATAATGTCTGTTTCCATCCGCATCATTTCGGCGGGATCACAAGGGCGCGCTCCTGTCTCTCTTGGTGGAGTGGTAGACATAGACATCAACGCCACTTGACTGTCTGCGAAAAAATTGATTGTGTATGAGGTTGGATTCTACCAACCTCTCCTCACACAGTTCAGTAGCATATATTTCCGCTTGAAATACATTCGTATAGGTCCTTAGGAAGGTTGATACCTCTGTCCTGGGTCTGCGACTGAAAAGACCTGCACCAGAGCCTGAAGGTGTTTTTGATCCATCTTTGGATCTGTGGATGATAAATAACATACCAAAATTTAAGAAACCCAAAAAACATTACATATTTATAGTACGGACCATAAAACATACAAATTGAAGAAAATCATACTAAGAATGATGCAACAAATAAAAAAAATAAACAAAAATATGTGAAACTGGAAAATTGTTGATTTATTTCAAAATATTATCTTCCAGTTGTGTTTTGAATTTCGTAGTATGTATTAATTTTTTTTATATTGTTAGGTATTTTACTATATAAATTAACTCCATCATGAAATAGTATATTATAGACCTAGGGTGAGAAGTGAGCTATTATTTACCGAGCATTTTTATATCCTCAGGCGCGTAGCGCCGAGGGAATTTTTTTTCTCACTATAATACAGAATTGAGAAATTCTAAGTTCTGAACATACAGAAGCGATGAGAGAAGTGTAACATTGAAATATATCAAAAATGCAATGAGATATTTCCTAGATTCATATCAAAATTTGACACAAGCCAAATTTTTACATAAATAAAGCTAGTCTAATTAGAAACACGCTCCACTCACTTGATATTCCGATATATTCAACAAATTGTCAGAAAATTACTGATGCCAAAATTGTTAATATATCAATGTTAGTAGTGAAAAAAATTCTATATATACCTCGGCTGACAAAGCTGTTATTTACCTCGCACATTTCCAATATTCAATTACCTACTTCTAGTTGATAATTAAGTTAACAAAAGTTTCTGTGTTTCTTTAAAATTATAGAATTGTTCTCATTATTTACCTAGGTGTTTTTTTATTAAAATGATTTACCAAGGGTGGGAAATATTCATTCTCGTTAGGGGAATGGAGTAAATAATAGCAATTTCTCAGGTTAGTAGTGAAAAAAATACATTTTTGACCAAGTTTACTTTCGTGTGGTTGTGAAACTATATCTTGTATTAATATAAACTGTTGAAATTAAAACTATTAGATATAACACTTGTTTGTCGCTTTATGCCATTATGCTGGAGCAAATCTCATTTCTACAATATGAACCGAAATACGAACTATTTTGGAACTGACAAAAATTTGGTATTAACGATCAATTCAAAATTTAGGTGAATGATGTTAGATACAAGAGGGTGTCGATTTTATTAGCCAACAAAAACTTCGTTATTTTATGTTGAAAATATATATCCTGGTAAGATTCCTAAAACATCCTATGATACTTCAACATATGCTTTGTTCAAGATGCCATTATAGAGAAACTGGAAACCAAGAGAGACACAAAGTCGGTTAAACTAGAAAAAACTTCCTTCGTTCAAGGAAATTCATAGTGTTTTCGGAGATATTCGAAGAGAACCGAAAACTCGTCAGTTTGGTTTTTATTTTTTCTGGCGTCATTTAAGAAGAAGATGGAAAACAAAAAATAATTTTTTGTTGCCACTTCTCAAACTGCATACAAGATTACAGACTTTCGTTCCGGTGTTTCGTCTCCGAGAACTCATCAACAATGTTGAGTTTTATATAGGGCTGTAAACAGAATCACCTGATTTACGTTCACAACCTCATTGATGAATCACTGTAATTTCCTGAATTTCCAAAAAAGGTAATTGAATAAACTCTTGAATGGATAGCTTTTTTTGATTTAATCATCTCATCTCTGTATCTTGTATGGTTTCTGATTTTCGCATGCTGGTCCTTCTTATTTTCGTCACGTTGTATTCGTTTTCGGCAACAGTGTATCAACTTTTTTCATTCTGGGATCGATAACCCATTCACGTTTTTAGCAATATTTCTATTATAACAGTTGCTATTGATATTTCAAAGGGTAACTCCATTATTGGAACTAGATATACAGTGCATTTCATTTAAAACGAGCTACCCTCAATAACTTTTGGTACAATGATTTTTAGGAAAAATAAAAAAACACGTCAACAATAGTATACAGGGGGACACATTTTTACATATTTACATTCGATGTTACTTTCTGTATCGCACTCCCAGAGCATGTCACCAATTTTTTTTAAATGGATCACCCTATATTGTTTCACATTATCAGATGCTCCATGATGAGCAGATTTCAACAAAGTATAGAGCATATGGTCTGAAGCTTATGATTTGGGAGCTACAAACTATATGAGTTGAAAACGAGTGATTCTAGATCCCAAAAACAAGTTCACCAAGCTTTTGTTGCATTTCCACCACGAAAAAGTAGGACATCACCGTCAACAATACGTCGTAAATGAAATCTGACTGAAATACTAGATCCTCAGAATGAGGAAACGAATAGTTTCTTACTTGTCTGGAGTAATGTGGTGGTGCTCCATCTTGTTAGAATAGATTATCCATATCGAATTCATTAGGATTCGCTTCGACGATTTCAGTGATGAGTCTACAGTAGTTTCCAGTATATTCAAATACAGTTCCCCTGTTTAATTTTGATCAATAAATAGGGGTCCCACAATATGGTTTCCCAATATTCCTGCCCAAACTTTAAACGGAGAGCAGCACTCCCGTTTGTGTTAACGGTAGCTCATTTCCAACCCC